CTTTTGAAATGACTCATGACCGGTCATTTGTCATTTGGGTCATTTGGGTCATTTCAGGTCATTTACCATCCCTGCTTAAGACCGGTCTGAGACTGTAAAAAATTGGTCTGCTCTAAGTCTTAAGACGGATTGCGAGTTAATAGTTGTTTATTGAATATTACAGTAGTATAATAATTTATAATCGAAGTACTTAGACCATTTTTAGTTGATTGTTAGTTTAACGTCGATATTTAGACTCAGGCATGAGAGCGGGGGTTTAAACAAACACATATAGTCCCAAGAATTTGATCAAATCTCATTGGTCAACATTAACCACATGATTAATGGAGTTTATGCTGCGTTGTGATTGGCTTGTTTAATTTTTTAATTTTCGGGGGATGCAGATAAGCGGGGGGATGTTCTCATTTAATTTGCATTAAATTAGGCTGTAATGATATTATTTTTATTACTTGAGTATTAGGCCACACAAAGTTGATTTTTCGTTTTGCATTACATTATTGATGGCCTAGTGCAATCTTCACGTAAACGCGACTATACCAAAATTGTCAACAGATTTAATGTGAACGTTATGGCTTTAGTGTTAATGACATGAAAATTTGAATTTTTTTTGTTTAAAACGGTTAACAACATGAAAGCGTGTTAAATGTTACTGAGATGGATAATGCTGAAATTTGTAGATTCAACCAATCAGGTTTCATAAAGGGAACCATTCTGAATATTCTGAATTAAACTCGAGTATTTTTTATGTCTTTATATTTTGATTAAATAATAATAATAATAATGATAAAATAAATTGTTATCGTAAAAAGAATTGAATTTTTGAAATTTGGATCGGAGAGTAATGCAAACGAAAAATTAACTTGGTGTAACCTTGGAGATCAACTAAAATAATTTATTCATGCTCATAGCTATTTACCGTAGAGGTGGAAACAACAATTATAGAGTAACATAGTCATGCCACAAAAATTTGTCGGTTACGTCATCTCCGTGTTAATCGGTACTAAAACGTCGATCCGATTCTAGATAGAATCGACAATTTTTGTGGCATGACTATGTTACTCACAATTATACGACCAAATTTCTTTTATCATAGTTAATGTCACTCGTAGCTGTACATGAGAGTGACGTTAATTTCGAAAAAAAAACCGAAATCGCTATTTTTTATCATTTACGAGTATTGTACACTTAGATAATTACTTGACGGATATATCGATGTTGATAATAAAAATCAGCGTAAATAAATGGCGCATTGATTGATTTGATTGATGAAAAAGTAATCAGTTGAAGGGTAAAGTACAGTCATATTGATAATCAACTGTTTTCTTTGTTTAGGTTTTCCGTTCCTGGTTTGCGCGTGTAGCTATCTAGTGTGAATAATTAGCCAGAAGTGAAAAATTAGCAATTCCATCGTACTTTACGTAAACAAGTTAGTCGTAGCTAAGTATGGATGAAGATCTGGATCATTATTACAGTCAGGGAATATATCAAAAATGAACAGTGTTGATCAGGTAAAACGAAACGTAATCCTTCTTTTATGATCAGTGATAGAGTTTTTTATTTTTCATATGGTAAAACTCTAACACTTATCAGTGATTATCATTTCATCAACCCAGTAAAAAGTCCTATGAAAAATGAAAAATGCCAAAGATCCTGTGAATAGATATGCAAATTTGAATCGATCACTAATATTTATGTCTGAAATCATGTTTTTACTATCATTTGTTACAACATTTGAATATAATGATTTTAAATTTAATTGTGAAACAGATCATGAAAAAAGCAGTAAATATGGATCCAGGTGTGGATCAAATCATGCGAAGAAGTTGCCTGTATACAGAAGAAAGTCTAACATATGCCCTGTGAAGGTGCTATATTAAAAAGATTAGTTTTATAAAAACAAACTATAATATATATAAAAGTATTTATATAATAAATAAGGTTCTAGAAATTTATTAATACAATAAATAAATTTACTAAATCAAAAACGATTAACATAAAAATGTTAATAAGAAGTAATCTAAATTTCGTTAAAATTCCTAAAGAGATATTGCTAAAACAAATTTTCTTAGTAAAAAAAATCTCAAATTAAGCATATATAATCATACTTTTTTTATGATAAAAATTTATACCATTAAAAAACATGATTATAACGCACTTAATTCGAGATTTTTTACTAAGAAAAAACTTAATCTTTGTTATTAAAGCAAGTTTATATATATCACAAAAGAATTTAATGTAAAGTTAATTAACAAAAAAGTAGTTTAAATTTCATCAAAATTTCAAGGTAGGTAGCATTTTATACTACGAACAACTTCACTTACGTAGTGCATAAAGATCAAAATTATTATCGATTTTGTGAATTATCGATCACGATCGATCAAAATATGCAGGTATGTTTATGTGATCGATGTTGTACGTATACCCATATGCAGCGATTTCTTATAGAACAATACGTATATGGTTAACAATCCAAGAGAAACTTGCTTAACAAAAAACGTTTCATCATAAACTAGCTGCATTCCGATGTTATAGAAAACTATTATAATTTCAGACAATGTTTGCTATAAATAAATTTTATTATTTTTATACTCTTCAATCGTGATTTGCTTCTTAAATATTAATTATATCTTTATTATTGCATATATGTCAAAAAGCTTTTAATTTCGAAGTTATTACTAACTATCTACAAAAATTTAAAATAATATATAGTATGTAATCAATTCTAATATACCATTCTTTGCTTTTCCAACTTTGTTCAGAATGATAACGAGATTATTTATTTAAGAGATTTCAAATCTCTAAATGTTGTATTTCGAAGCTATTTATTAACTCTATTACTTACGTATGCATTACTTATGTATATACGTACGTAGGTACACAAATAGTAATGTGTTTTTTATTTCACAAAGATAAGATATATTCATTATATAAATTTCTTCGTTTACCATCCAAAAATTCGTCATAAGCTGTCTGTATAACACCACACCAAGATGTTGGATGAATCGTGGCATTCCATTGATTATGCCAATGATAGGCAAAAATACCACGAAAGAAATTGTCTATATTTCGAATTTCTAAAGGTGAACTATCAAGTGTTGTAGGATCAAGTCCGGAAATCTCGCCAGGAGTTAAATTAGGATTGAATAAATCAGTAAATTTATGAAGATTCGGTGATAATGTGGATAGTGGTTGTATATCATCTTGTTTCAACCATAAAGGATCAAACAATCCAGATGGAAGCATGTAAATAAGTTTGTTAGTTTCTTTACGAGAAGAATAATCGTGTGTAGACAAGTATTTTTTGATGGTAAAGGGATGAAAGTTCATATCATTTTTTATAGCACCACGAATCACCATTTTAGAAGATGGACTCTGTTTCCAAAGACGTAGAACTGCGGTATTGTACTGGTTTGTTTTGCTCCAACGATAAGCAAATTCAAAATTTGCGTAGTATAAAGGACGCATGTCACGAATCAAAAGTACGTCGGAGTCAATATATATACCACCATAATTATGAAGAACTACAAAACGGAACAAGTCACTAATCTTAACTGAACTATTGTATTTAGGTCCCTGCCACCCGTCATATACATCACTAAATGAAAGTTGCTCCACCATGTCCCAGGATTTAAATTCAATAAGAGTTGGGGAATATTTTAATAAAGAACGAACATGCTTATTATCATTGAGGTTGGTATCATTCATGTTATCGAACCAGACATAGAGCGTTGAGCATTCAAGAGGTTGACTATAAAGAAAAGATTTCATCACCAAAGCAAGTTTATCAGTAATTTGGCCTTGCCAAAAAACATGGAAAAGCATTGGTGGATGGTGGCGATTACATGGAGGAGGTGGCGAGGCACCTTTTATGGTTGAAAATGAAGTCATATAATCGTCTTCATTGTCAAGATACTTTAGACAATTTTCAGTCATAATGTTTTTTATATCCCCACAATTCTTCTCTAAACGGTCAACACGAACGACATAACCTTGTTTTGGACGCTTACGGCCGCTTAACAGAAGTGGGGGAGCAGTTGTTGATTCCTTATGAAAATTTTCAATTTCGTTATTTGTAAGATTAATATCATAAATATCCAAATAAATATAAGCTGCATAAAATAAACAGAAGATTATAGTAAATATTATGTATAAGAATTTCATTTCGTATTATAGCTTGGAGTAAGGTGAATGTTTGCTAGGTTTCGTTGGAAACAAAATTTTGCAATATTTATGTACTCACATTGGGGTGTCCAATGCACTATGTAAATCAAATCTAAGTAAGGTCTATATGATAAATTTGTATATACGGATTTTTTG